CCGGCGTGGGTTCAGCGTCGGGAATTGGTCGAGGGAAGTGAGGGGAAGTCCAAGGAACTCTCACCCGAAAGTTCTCGGGCTCTGGGAGGCTAGGGCTCTGGAATTTCGAAAAAGATCCTCAATTAGACCTAATTCTTGGTATTTAAGTCTCCCAATCCTTAGATCTGCGGCTAGGATTGAGTCCAGAGGTCATTTGGAGGGAAACCAGGCTTAGGAGGCCGTGGTTTAAATTTTAAATCCATTAGAAATCAATTAGGGCATTAAATACCATTGAATGGGCTCCAAATAGGTTAATCTAGCCTATTGATGGCTAGATTTGACCAAGTCAAAGCTTGACTTGGTCAAACCAGTCAATTGGGTCAAGGAGGATGAGGGTCAAGCCATGGAACCCATTAAATTAATTTTAAATTAATTCTAGGCTTAAAGGGTCCAAATTGGTCAACCCTGGTTGACTTGGTCAACTGGGTTGACTCAGGGCCCAAGCTCGGGCTCAACAGACTCGACTCGACCCCACGAACCTATTGGAGAGGGTCTTGGGGTCTGACTTGGTCAATTTGGCCAAGTCAACCCTTTGACCAAGGTTCCGGACAAAATCGAGGTCAACAGCCACCACACCACCCCATATCATGATCATCGGCCTTCCAATCTAATTATTATTAGGGTTGGTTGATCAAGCTGACATATTGAGGGATTGTCTAATAACTTTTTCATAAAGTAAGGGTATGATCTTTTGCACTTATGATTAACAATGAAAATATTTGAATATGATTCTAATATTCTAATAAGAATAAAAAAATATCTATCCCCCCCCCCAATAAACCCCCCCCCCCCCTCAAAATATATAATTAAATCATGATTCTATTCATTCTCTAGAAACTAAATTCCACATCCATAGGGAATTCAAGAGCGTTGATATTTTAAATAGTCCAAAAGACCTCCCATGAATTCTCATTACCATTCTAGTTTTACCAATTCCAACAATTCATTACCTATCAGTTGGCTAGATTTCTCTCCAGGAGAATACGCTTCATCAACTTATTTTTTTCGCCCAGTAGTTGAACAAAAATTCCTCCTAATTAGGATATTATATTGAAAAGCTTTTGTAATGCAATAGCAACCAATCGTTCATTTCTCTCTTCTTCTAAGAGAGAAAATTCTATGTCTATCATTTTTCGATGGATAAACTCCTCATTTCTATTAAAAAAGAAGCCACCTTTCAAACTCTCATTATCTTCAAAACGAATGCATGATATTCCTCACAACTTGGCCACCGAAAGCGACTTCTTCTATAATTTAGATCTTTACATTATATTGATCTTTATTCTTAGATAAGAGCAACCAATTGTGATCACATATCTACTATTGACTTTCATTTTAAATAATAAAGTACATAATTTATTTCATTGCAATAAGTAAAGCAAAAAGGTTCGAATGCATTCATAAATTTCATAAAACACTATAATGGTAAGCAACACAATACATTATTGTATAAAAAGTCACTATTTCAAAATATAACAAATTTACTAGGGATTGTGCAATATATTGTTTCAAAACTATAATTGTACAACATTATTTTATGACTTCAGGGTTTTTTTCAGCCAATTCAAAAGGTGTAAATTTCAAAAAATCAAGTGTAAAATTCTCTAAAAAAATGATTAAATATTCAGAATCATAATCTTTACATCATATATAAAGTTACATCGTGAAAGTTTGATAGACGGAGAATTATCCTCATTTTTTACTAACAAAATTATACACTACAGGAAATTCAATAGTTTGCTTATTTGTGGCGGACTTTATGGCAGACTTACGACATAATATTGTTTGTAAAAAATATTGATAGATTTGTGACGGAATTTTTCAACAAAAAATTTTTATGAACTTTGTGACGGATTTG